TTGGATTTTAGGACTATTTTCCAACCCTCTAACTGGAACAATGATGAAAATGTGTTTGAATTTAAACAGTTAAACATATTATTAGCAATTGTTACATGTGAGACCAGCATCCAGGCCAGTTGCTTCTTTTTAATCACTTTATTTTAAAATGCAAGAAAATAACCATCAGAAACAAACCTTTCCACTAGCATGAATTCAACCAAAAGAACTTGCTTTAAAAGAGTAATTTTTTTAAAAAAGAAATATTATTATTTAAAGTAGTGGCTGTAACATCTGAATTGCATTTTGCTACTTAATTTCCTGATTTAAACCTAAATGGATGGAGTCCTGCACATTAATGCAAAACAAACAAACAAACAAACTGGTGTAAATAATAGAAAACCAGTTTAAATCCCCCCCAAAACTTTTTTTTTTAGCTGATACATCCAGGTTCTTCTTCTTATACTTTAAAAAAGAGGATCCAACTTCTTCTCTAGCATCATCATTATCATCTTTTTTTATAAAAAAAAATAGCTATAATTTTTATTTAAAAAATAGCTATAATATAGGTATAAAATTTATATTGATGAGCTTCACCTTTTTGGCTTCACAGACCCTTTTGAGAATCTGTTTTCCAGTTCTGCAGAAAAAAATCTTTTTTTTAAAATTTTTCTGCAGAAAAATAAAATAGAAAATATAGAGAGACACCTTTTTTCCCCTTTTTAAAAAAATGCTGTTGCATTTTATTGCATTGGAAATTGATTTGCATCACATAGTAACACTATTCCTGGGGGAGTGGGGGGTGAACTCAAGGAAAGACTATATATATTTACTTTAAAGTTCACTATTTTTTAAAAACAAATTATCTGTTTTAATATTGTGATAGTTTATTTCCATTTTATTTGTCACATTTGTAAGGTTTTTAATTGTAGTGTTCTTTTAGACTAAGCTGCTTTGAGTCCCAATTTTTTTGGGTAGGAAGCAGGATGATATTATTATTATTATTATTATTATTATTATTATTATTA